TATATATATGTATATATATATATATATATGGTAAATCAATGTCCTACAGTTGCTATTTGTTCTAAGGGGAGTAAGTTCCCAAAATATAATTTTAAGGAAAGCCCATAGATCAACAACACTGTGTCAGTATATGATGGTGTGCTGTGGCATAGCATTGCATTGCAATGTTCATACACTGAAGGGAATAAAATGCCGAGAACTGTCAACCCTGCTTGGCTTACTCAGCTCTGGCAATCTTGTTGAGCTATGCTGCAAAAGAGGTTGCTATGTTCTGGGAACAATAGCTCCAACAACTGATAAATGTCAGACCAAACATATAATTAGCATGGCCCCAAACTCACCGAGTTTTTTCCTGATGCATGGCAAAATAGTTCTTGAGATGACTTCAGAGGTTTGCCATTCAGAGAATTTCCTAATGACCTATCATTTGTGTGTGCATTCTCTCCTGACTAACTAAGGATCAGTATGCCTGAGGGGAAAAAATGACAGGAGCTGTGACTCAAGGAGGAAGCTTTTGGCCTGAAGCTGTGATAAGTTTTACATTGAAAGTCATCCATATAAATTAAAAAAAAAAAGTGACATGCAGCCTTATTATGCCTGCACACTCAACAGTAACTGGAGGGAAGCAGGCCTCCAGGTACAGAGAGAATAATAAATGACCTCTCATAGTGTTTGTGAAAGGAGCAGAAAAAGCCTCATCTCATTCCATGTACATTTTTAATAACATGAGGCTCAATGCCAACACTCTGATAATGTTACATATGTCATCTATTGAACACATGAAACCTCAAGTTTCAGCTCCTGGAAGATATTGACACATTTCTGTCTACAGCAACATCCTCACATTATCATCAAAATTTCTCACTAAAGTTGAAAAATAAAGGGATTAACTAACAAGAAGAGAGCAATGATGTAGCAGTGCCCTGGAAAGAGAACAGATTTTATTTCCTTTACATGGCAGGGGCATAACACAGGCCAATAATACAGGGGCTGTGGAACACAGCACAAACTCTTGGTGGAGAGTCACCCTGGGCCCACACCAGACCAACCCTGCATGTGGGACAATAAAGAATGTAGCACCTGTACTCCACTGTGCCTGATCTAAATACCCGCTCCATCAGGAGGAACCCAGTTTGCAACACCCCTTTAGATTAGTCAGGTATGGGTTAGCTCAGGGGCTTGAAGCAAAGCAGAACCACTGCCTGTCGTGCTGCCAGAACGGTGCCAGGCTCTGCGCTGACGTGTGGCCAGCAGCTCCACACAGCACACAAGAAGCTGAAGCTGACAGATCAAAGCTGGACCTGAAGTAAGCAAGTACACTGCGTGTCTTATCTGGATACTTTTTTCCCCTTAATAGATCCAGATTCTGCTCCTCATATAGAAAAACAGTAATTGTACCTGATGCAGTGTTCACACCAAATCAGTTATTTTGTTCATAAATTTAATTAAGTTTTGATTACTTTAACACATTTCAGTATCTGTTTAGTAATTGTATGCAGGACTAAACAAAACACTAATCTATTTTAAATGGTGTATTCAATTTTTGCTGCATTCTTTAAACACAGATAAAATCAACCGCTCAAATCACAGAATTGCGCTTCCACAACAGGAATACCAGCTTTCCCTGCAGACAATTCTGACTTTCATGGGAACATCAGGTTAGTTCTGCTGGGAGAGCTAAAGAGGTATACCAACACTGATGCCACAGAACCAGAGCTGAAGAAGCTTCCTCAGAGCTATGTCGCAAACCAGAAAAATAAAAATCACATTATCATCTCTTCCTCTCAATCATCTTACCCAGAAGTCTGCAATGGTTATTTTGAATGCTAAACAGATATGGGGGTCATTTCAGAAGGCAAAGTGGGTGACAGTCTTCACCCCATGTCTTCTCTGGAAGAGCTGTTTCTGATAGCTGTACATAGGCATTGTGTAATACTTGTGGTCTTTGAGTGACAGGAGTGCTATTCCATCTTATTTCTGCTGTCTACCTTGTACTAGGAAAATTCTTTATGACCTCTCTGCTTTCCTTATTTAAATATCTCCTAGGAAGGAGGATGGTGGTTGGGAGGCAGACATTTTTCTGACCTTAATGTCTGGACAATGCTTTGAATAGTAGTAGTCAGTACTAAATAGTCATCACGTGTCTTAGACTGTAAAATGATTCTAACACCACCAGCTAATCCTCTCTGCAGCCACATCACTGTTGAGCAATATCTTGTCTCTTGCAGCTAATTGGCATCTCAGCTAACAATTCTGAGGATTTAGAAAGCTTAATTGGGTCTTGAACTAGACTGAGAAACAACCTACAAAAAAATAATCACCAAATATAAGAGCCAAAGAACCTACTCGTGCTATCTGTGATGAGGCAAGTAATTCAGAAAGAGAAGCAAAATAACTTAACTGCAAGAAAAAGAGAAGGAAAATGGATCATCATCCAAAAGAAAGTGAAGGACTTGCCTCAGTTCAAGATGTAAGATTATAAACATGACTTCAAAAATAAATCATACTAACATTCTGAGCTCTCTTGTGGCAGCTCAAACATTTTGGACTAAAGATACACAATTTTTTTTTAATTATTTCTTTGAGGGATTAACCTGTTGCTTCAGCATTGATGTTTCAGACACCATAGAAAAAGGAATAACATCCCAGATACATCTTGTTCCTTCAAAGGTCCAATCAACTACTGCCCCTGCCAAATGGTATGCAGCACCAAATTTAATCCTAACAACAACAAAAAAACATCACTAGGGAAGAATTCAACCACTAGTGATCATTTTGGTACTGAAAGACCTCTAGCATTTCATCCTCTCATAAAACAGGAGAAAGCCAAGTACCTGCATAGGTAGAGCTCCCAGCACCCAACCACCTCTTGACGGAAGTATTCATTCCAAATATGCATAGAATCATAGAATATGCTGAGTTGGAAGGGATCCATCAGGATCATCAAATCCAATACCTGGTCCTGTGCAGGACACCCCAAGAATCACACCATGTGCCTAAGAGTGTCGACCAAACCCTTCTTGAACACATGACCATTCACAAAAAGGGTAAGGAAAGACACATGGCCACTGAAATTTGCAAGACTGCAATCTGCCCCTCTGAAAGAGAACTGACGTGAAAATAACTACAAGTATCTTCTGGTACCATTTCCAAAATACCTACTTTCTCCTCCAGTGACAACAAGGAAATATTCTACCTCAAATCCAAAACATGTAGAAAAATGTCCTTATACTGTAACTGATAAAGATACCAATATATTTTATGCATGGATATATTCTTTAGGTGTCAAGAGGTGTTTTTCTATACAAAACTCACAATCAAATTCACAGCTAAAATTTAACCAACAAATTTCCTATCATTCTTGGGCATACAAAGAGAGACCCTTAATCTAATGATTGACCTGTGAGATAAAAAAAATTCAAGATGTGGCAGAATTAATTTGGCTTCCCAAGGAAAATATGACATAATTCCACCAAGAATCCATCAAATAAATGATCATGTCATACAATTTTTTCTATGTACTGTTTCACAGGCATTTTTGTGCGTTGAAACTTGTACATGAATAAATGTTCACCATCACATCCTGGTGTAAATAATGGCACTGCACTGAAAAAACAATCAATATCCTTATATATTAATATTCCTTTATAATCTGCTTACATAATTTGCTCAGACTGTCGTAAAATCCATTTTACTTAACAATCCATTTATATCACAAATATGTATGGAAAACTCCTCTCATTTTAAATGGATTTCTACCTCATTAAACTCTTCTTAATGAGACTGGGGATACAGCTTTCAAGTAAATGAACAGAAGGTATTTTAAATAAAATTAGCTGAGTTTAAATAAAAACAGCTCATACTTTACAATACCCCACAGCTAGCAAAAATGAGCTACTTTATATACTAACCACCTAGTGCAATTTCCTGCTCTTCCATGAAGGTTTGCTTTGGGAAGAGCAACCTCACTGAACACTCATAAAAGAATCTTATTTTTTAAATGGCAGACAGAAGCCAAATATATCCCTCTGTGTGATATTGACTATTCACAAGTGCATATTGGTCCATGCTCTGCAATAGTAATCTTTGGTAATCTTACTCTATGATTGAGGCCAGGTACTAAGATTTGGCTTCTTACTCACACTGCTATGTATTAAATATTTTTCTTCCTTTTTTTTAAGCATAATTGTAAAAATAAAAACTTGTCTTAAAATTAGTTCAGAGAGAGATGATGAATTCTTCATCATTCTATCTTGACATCGATGAAGCCAGTATTAGTCAAAACTTGTCTCTGTCAAAATTCACAGATGGGAGGAAGACACAAGTCTTCCAGTTTTTGAGCTGTTCAAGGAGTATCACGCTACATAGCCCAAGACCTGGAAGACAATAAAAGAAGTATGTGCAATACTGTAACTTTTCCCACTAGCAGTGGAATCTCATTTCAAAACTATGCACTTTTTTTTCCCCCACATGATTTTAATCACTAGCTATCTGGATCCCTTTTAACTGCATTTATGTTTCCTCTGCCTCAGTGCAGTATCATTTAAGATAAATGATCCAACTTGATAGAGTCTTCTCATTCACCTGAAACACAAACATTGTTTTTAAAGAAACAACAAACAATATTCAGATTTTTTTTTTCCATACTTAACCAAACAGTGTATTTCACTTCTCATAATCACGTAACGTTTCCCCCAGAAGATAAGGAGACCTTTCATTTCTCATCAAAATAAGAAACCACTTCCTGGTAGCTGAAGGGCATGGTAAGTTCAGCTGTAGCAATACTTCGTTCAATTCTGTTCCAAAGGTTGTATCCCTGCTGCCAGCCCCCTCCACAGACGTCACTGGCAGATCAGAAGCCCCCGTTGTACCTCCAGCAGAATCCCGCCCGGCCCCTCCCGTGGCCGCAGCCTGCAGCCCCGGGGGCACCGCGGGGGCGCCGTTCCCGCTGGGAGCGCCGTTCCCGCGGGGCCGGGAGGGCGGGACGCGCGGCCAGGCCCGCCCCCAGCGCTGCGGGCCCGCTATGGCGGCGGCGGGGCCGGCTCGGGCGCGGGCGCTGCTGCAGCAGAGCCTGTCCGCCCGCCTGCAGGTGCGGCCGCCCGAGCGCGGCGCCGAGGCCCAGTGGGTGGAGGTAACGTGGGCTGCGGGCCGCGCCCCCGGCATCGCCCCTTCTCCCCCCGGCTCGGGGCCGCTCCGGGCCGGGCCGGGCACGGGGAGAACGCTCCGTCCCCTGAGCGCGTGCGCCGGCGGGAAGCGAGGGTGGGCGTTTAGAGATTTGAGGAACAACCCACCCCCCTCGCTGCTTCATTTTCCGGGCTAAGCTTCAGTTCAGACACCTCTCCCACCCTGTCCTTGATTTCCACTCTCGAGCCCTTCCCGCACCCTCTCGTTATCACCCAAGGCTACGCTCGGTCCCTTCAGCGGAGGGACGAGCAGCACAGCAGGCTGAGGCCGGTGCACGGCGGGTTGTCCCTGCTGCTCCTTCCCCTTCCCTGGGCTCCAGCAGAGGCTCTCCGCATGCTGTAGTCCCTTCGGGAGCACGACTGCGCAACCACACACCTCCTTCCGCTCTAACCGCGTTGTTCCTTCTTTTCTTAAATACACTTTCACAGAGGCACTAGAACCTTGGCTGGTGGGCTCAGCTGCCGGCTTTGTTTAGTGTGCGATAGTGTGCACTTGGAGAGGAAAGGCCAGGTGGGGCAATGGGGCTATGGTAGCAGTAGTTCTGATGTTGGGGTTTTTTTTAGCAGACCACCAACTAAAAATGAAGTTTAGGGTGTAGACAACCACACAGGTTGAGGGAAACTTATTTTTCTCATTTTCCTCCCACGGTCTTCTGCTGGGAGAGGTAGGCTCTGCTCTTTGGGCTAAGTGCTGTGCATACAGCCCGGGGCTCTATACCAAAGCATGAAGGCTGCCCTGTGGGATGCACTGTCCTGCTGTAGTTGTCACTGTTCATGGGTTACCTACACTAGAATAATTCATCTGTGCTGGCGTCAACTATTTAGCCTTGGGGTTTTTTTGGTTTTGTCTTTTGTCCTTCCTAAAGACAGTAGAGGCTTTATACCGTCACTCTCATAACTTCTAAAAAGTAAAAATTGTAGCATGCCTAAAGGGTTAATGAGTTCATTCAACAAATCTGAAAAGAGTTCACTATTTGTCTTTAAAGCTTCTCTCTCCTTGTGCAGAAGGGTCAGGTGGATCCATAAGACCTAGTTTCTGCAGCATGGTCTGAGAAACCAGAATGTTTGGCTGAAGTGCATCTGTGTATTGTATGATTACCCTCCTAGTGTAAGGTTAATTACAGTGAATGTTGCTCAGCCCAGCATAAATTAGTATAGGAAAAATAAGCTATTTCTATCTTGCTAATCTCAGAAGAAGTTGTACATCTAGTAACTAAAAGCAGAACTGCAATTTTGTCTAGCTGTCTTTTAAACTGTCTGAAAAGAGTTTAAAGTTGTTATAGTTGAGAGATACCATGAGCAACTCTGTTACAAGGAGGTTTGCAGTTTATATCTTGTATTTGAAGTTTTTAACAGACTAAGCAAAATCCTTGGGAAAGTAATAGGAAGCATAAAGGAATCTGCAAGAGATTTGGGTCGTCTCAGCAGCAGATATTTTTCGGACATGAACCATCCTAATATTTGTCGTGGGTAATTAGGAATCTTTCTTGGCTACCTGGGGCTTTTTAAGAGAAGTCACCATGCAGGAAAAAAGAACTATGGGAAGCAATACTTTCTTTAGTATGACTACTGTAGAGGTCATTAGAAGGAAACTGCTGCTGATGTTTTGTGGTAGGGTCATGTTATATATGCACATACGTATAGGCACTATATATGCATGTCAGTGCAAAAATATAAAGGTCTCATCGACTATTATTTGCGTCAACCAGTGTGTTCCTGATGTTTTATAACAACTTAAAAGTAGGTCCTCACCTCGAGACATTTCTAGCACACTATAAATAGCATATTATGTGGGTGGTTTTGTATAGCTTTTGAGCTGTAGGAGACCCTTGTAGGTACTTAAGGAGATTCAGAGCAGATGTTCTTTATCTGCAAAAAGGTTAGGAGTGTACTCTATACTTACACATGAATCACTGCCTTCGTTGTGTTTTCATGATTGAGTTTTTCGGGCCTGTTGAGGATTACTGGGGAATGGATGTCTTGTTTATGGAGAAATGTGGGTTGGATAGCCTCCATAAAAAGTGTATGTATACAGCAAAATACTTAGGAGGAAAACAAGGAATTCTCCTTATAAAGGTAGAGTGGAAATAAGGTGTGGTTTGGTGTATTTCACAACTTTGGGGGAAAAGAAATGTAAAATGAATATTCAGCTAAAAAGTGTACACTTAAAGTGTACACATAAAGTGCCTACACTTTATGCAATGAAACCTGCCTTTTCCTTATCTTCTTTCCTTTGATTTGTCTTCTGGTTAATATAGCAAAAAGAGGTGCAAAGTACCAGGCACAGACTTGTTCTCTGACCTGTGGCAGATGATGTAATCTCTCTTTGCTCCACTTGAATAAAAGACATATGAAGAAATCTTTCCACAGGGTAGCAAATCTAAACTTGAAGTGGAAATATCAAAGAATAATTTATGCAAGTTTCACTAACTGGCTTTCTAGGGATTACAAGTATCTCTGTTTTCATTATCCACTGCAATTTCCTAGGGGGGGGAAGTAAAAAAAAAATAAAAAAGGTAGAGTTGAGTTAATATTTTACAGAATATATTTTGGTCTTCCTAATAATATCCTGAAAAATTCAGATGAATGTGTTTAGTAAGGAGTTATTTGTTTTTTCCTGCACAAGAGCTAAAAAGCAGCATTTAGAGGCAGCATTGCAAAGGCTGGCTGTATGGTCTAAGGACTGGGTACTTCAGCCCTTCATAATTCATGTGACCTGATCTGATGATTACTTAGGACAGTTGTATAATAAATGCCAGTGTTGCAAAGTAACTTTCTTTGCTGGTTTATATATGTAGGCATTTTACTCATAACGGTAAATCCACATAGAGCTCAACTTCCCTGTCCAGCTGCCTGCCTGTCACTGTGAAAGTTCCTTGCAGTGGCTTGTTTGCACATCAGCATGTTGAATTTATTACCATCTTATTTGTGTTATTTTACTTGATTTTTATGTGCTCTGAAGAGCAGTCAATAGACTTTGATACAGAGGACCTTCAGTAATGGCAATGGTTTTGCTTTGGTTCAAAAGGTTTACACATTCCCATTTTTAAGGTAAAACATACACAGGTATTCTTCCCAAGAATGCCGAGGCAGTGGAAGGATTAAAAAAACCCATTTATTTCAGATGCAAGGACCACTTCTTAATGATGCTGCACACACTGGGCCCCCAGGGAAAAAAAGCAATGCCCTCCCTTCTCCAAGGCTTTGTGTATCTTCTCTCTCTCCTCCCCCCCCCCCACCTCTGGCCTGAGGAGGTCTTTTACATGTGTTCAAACATGTTATCTCTCTGCATACCACTGAGAGAGGGAGCTTGCTCACAGCTTCTCCCTGCAACTTTCTCTGAAATGCTGAAGGAAGGGGAAAAAATCTGACCTGTTTGAGAAGGCATTTTGCAGGCAAAACAAGTTCTAGCCTTCCATTACAAATTCTTGCACAATCGCACCTATCCCTACACCATTCCTTACATTGGCAATGAGCAAAAGTCTCAGGACACCCAAAACACTGATATAAGGTCCGACTGATATACATTGTTATTATTAGGTTTACTCTTGTAATGTCATTCAATTTTACATCTTCCATTGAATTAAGAAAACTAAAGAACAGAGAAAGACCTAAGGAGGCTGAAACGTGGCTGCGCATGTATTGAAAATAGTGTTCAACCACAGTTGTCAGTCATAGTTGAAACCATAAGTTTCAGCTTACAAATAGTTGAATAGTTTTTAACTATATCATAGTTGAGAAACGGTCTAGAAGACCATAACCATGCAATGCAAATAGAAACATCCTCTAGAACCTTTAACTTGTCTCTGAATTAATTCTCTTTTCATTTAACCTCCTGAATCTCTAATTTTCCTCAGTATGCATGTTTCATCTTGTGATAAATTGGATATTCAAAACCAGGCATCAAATAATGATAGAGGCTGAAAAAATAATGAATGTTGTTATTTAATCTGTAGCTGTCAGGCTATAGGACTTGCAGGGGTCACTTTATTTTCTCTTTTGTCTCTTTAAATGAGCTGTTTGCAGAATATTGTTACTTCTGTGAGACTGTGCAAAAAAGAGACTGTCACAAGTCCCAGAATTAAAATTATTTTCTGTGATGTGTGCTATATCATGGCATCACTTATTTCTAATGCCATGGTCAGACATATGCAATGTAAATGCATTTGGCCTATTTTATCACAAACATTTTTATTAGTAGGTATGTGTGCATTGTTATTATCTATTAATATCCTCACCCTGGTCTGTTTCTGGAGTTAATATTTAGCTAAACATGTAAGGATGTGTAATATTTGGCAGCCTGCATTTCTTCCTCTAATTTGAACAGATGGTTTGAAACGTCATTCGAGGTTCAGGCCATCAAATCTGTTACAGTGTTTATGAAATATGGCAGTCATTTGAGAACCTCTATAAATATTCCGTAGTGGTCAAAATGAGTTTTGAAAGGAGCCATTTAAAGCATTTGAAAGTTCTCAGCAGGTGACATTTTGACTACAAAGAGCATTCTCTTTTTTCAGAAGTTAGTCACTAAAAAAAAATAGTTGAGAAGGCATAGCTTTTCTCAGTCATTGCTGTGAGCATTTTGTTTAATCTCTGCAATAACAAGGGGATAAAATCTTATATGTACAGCTAAGTTTTCTTAACCAAAACCCTTTATCTTTTAGAGAAAAGGGGAAAGAAAAACAAATAAAAGAGAGGAAAAAAATGAATAACGGTATTTTTTAGAAACTCTTCACATTTGCTATCTTTTTGCTTTGGTAATGTTGATATTAATGACTTCCTGTCCCAATCTATTTAACATCTCTTCAGTGGCATTTCATAAGCTGACATCTATATTTCTTCTAACAAAAATATTAAGGTACTTATTCTTGACAAGGCAGTGGGGAGGGTTTTTTATATACTGTATGTTTGCGGATATTGTATGCCTTTTAGGGTTTTCTTCCTGAAGAAGTTAAACCATTCAGGTGTACCTGTGCGTGAGACAGTTCAGCCATTCAGGTGTACCTCTGCATTGGCTGCAGAGCTTATCAGTTTGTCTTAATAAAGCACAGGTTGTTGTTCATGCATTCCTTGAGAACTAGCCAAGAGAGCAGAAAAGCTACACGAGAATTTTCTTGTGCTTTCTACTCAGTACAGGCCTAATTCTTCCCTCAACTACATAGTTCTTACAAGTAGTCTCTCTGAATGCTAAGGAAGTGGCTTATCCTTTACTCTGTGGATATGCCAAGGAGGGGAAGGGTTCTGTTTCACCAGTAAGATAATACACAAACTGATAAATAATATTTTGGACAACTTAATAATATTCTGAACAACTTCACAGCTGTTGGTCATCATATTTAAATCTTTAATTAACAGACTGTATTTTTTTCAGAATTATGTTGTGCTAGATTACTTTTAACACCAAAATAAAATTCAATTCACTGACAAGTCCTGTGGTGTTTGTCATGCTTCATAATTGGAAAGAAACTTGAAAATTATTTTAACTCTATGTTTGACAGCAAAAAAAAAAAAAGCTGAAATTATTTCCTATGCTGGATTTAAGTACATTAATTTATCTTGTCACCTTGTCTATGTTAATACTTTACACAGTGCATTACAACAAAATTCGGCTTCACATGGACATAATAAATTGGCGTACTTGTATGTAGAAGCATTGTGCAGATAATCAGTATATACATTATAAGCTCCCACAGCATGTAAATTTAATGTCTGAAGCTATACTAAAACACACTATACTAAATAACTAAAATTATTCTCAGAACTTGTGTGGTTTTGTGATTTTTGATACCAATTTTTATAAGCATGCATTGTGGACAATGAGAAATATTGACATAGGTTTCTGTAATCTTTTGTAGATCCAGAGAGGGCTTGTTATCTACATATGCTTCTTCAAAGGTGCTGATGAGGATCTCGTTCCAAAAATCGGTATGATATAACCCTTCTAAATTCTTGTATTTGCAAAAAACGAAAAGCAGCAGAGGCAGAGAAGGCAGCAACTGTTGGGACGAGTAGGAGTCAAGAAGCCATGAGACGGTATCATTCTAAATCAGTCACCTGCCTGAAAGAACAGTTTGATCTGTCTTATTTCTTTTGACAGTTGTCCAGGCCTCTCACTCTGTCCATCTGCTCAGGACTAACTTAGAACATCAATTCCCATGATGGTAACCTTCTAGCAAACAGAGAAAATGCTGCACCTACTATTTAACATATTACATGTATCAGGCAATGGGTTCAGTCCAGGACAGAACTGAATTTCAAATAGTTCATGGCTTGATTTGATAAGTGTTTTGACACTAATCTCACTATATGTGCAGGATATTTAAAATTATAACCAGTAGAGGGAGTTGGGTGGATGACTAAACAGTGTCCCTCCCATCTCATTTCAGTAGTACTATATACACTGTTAGCATTTCTGGTGCAGTTTTCTGGTTTGAAAGTGGTAACAGCAATATCTGCAGTTCTTGCCCTCTTTTCCACATACACTTTAACATTTACATAAAGGCAGAGAAGATGCTGTGGATCAGGTCAAATGGTAGTGATTTCTGTCTTCACCAGTGCTGTTTTGGCTTGATTTTTTTTGTTTTTGGTTTCTTGTTGGGGTTTTTTTGGGGGTTTTTTTTCCACTTTTATGTCATTTCTTCTCCCTCTTTTCCTCCATCAGTAGCACTGGATCACCTGGAAGAATGTGTGATGCCACATATTCCAGATAAAAGTACCCCTTTTCTGTGCCTGGCTGATATTAGTGATTTGGCAAAAAACTGTGTAACAGTAGTCTTTCAGGCTAATGGCTGGGCCAAGCAGTGCACAAGTACGGGTGCTATTGAAAATGCTCAGAGGAGCTGCTGTGGGGTTCTGTCTAGATCTTGGAGGGCACAGTCTGATATATTCTGAGATACTAAATAAAGTTGAAATATTTGGGTGTATTTAAATCTACGATATGAAAATTTATTTTGTGCTTGTGAGAGTTTCACAAGAATGTTACATGAGAATAATTACATGTCCAGCTGTAGGGCAGCTGAAACAGGCCAGGAAAAGAAAGTTCTGTTTCCTATGAAGACATTCATCTATGACCATCCTCCTTGAGTGCCTGGTTTACAACATATTGTTTCCTAAATATATTTTGAATCTGTTTAATTGCGTGTTTTTGATTCCTGAATCACAACTCAGCTCTTTTCGCTTCAAACAGCATTAAATGTGGAGGCATAACTAATATCCTCACAGCTTTTACAGAGTTCGAGAAAGTTTTGGGGTAATGACTTGATTTGTTACAGAAACAAGGAAAATCTAATGTTAGCAAATGCATTGATTTTATTTGAAAGTTTATGTATTCTGGCTTATAAGCCAAATTGCAACTGACCTTCCTGCCACTTCCTTTCTCAAAAGGCAAACTGGTCCCTGCACATCTCCAAGTGGAGTGCTGAAGGACACTCACTTCATTTGAGACCAGACTATGGAACTGTGCCTTCAGCACAGATCATTGCTGGGTCCTGCTGTGAACTACTCCAACCAGCGTGAAAAGACAGGGCACAAAGCTCTCCAAAATGCACTGAGGATGGTGTTGTCTCCTACAATTTGTTGCGTTGTGCAAATGCTGCCTATTTGAGTATCAGGCAATTTAGTAAGGGCCATTAAGTGCACCCTTCTCTGGATTCTTTTGGGAGTGTCAAACTAGAATCTACTTGAGGATTTTAGATATCAAATCACTTCCCCCAAAAATAAAACTTTAGACATCTGATATTAATATACATATCCTTAACATTCCTCATAATATTCAGGCATATAAGTTGGTTAATAGTATTTATTGACTGTTCCATGTTTCATTTAATTAATAAGCTGTTTCTTTTACTTGAGTAGTCACACGTCAAAATATTTTTTGAATCTTGTTTATGATGTCCTTTTAGTTCAGTTATACTAACTCTTATTTTATTTTTATTTGCAGTCAATATGCTGTTGAATGTTAAATTAAGTGAAAATGAAAACGGCGAGTTTGTTTCTGTTCTTGATTTACCGGGCGATGTACTTATCATACCCCAAGCTACCCTAGGCGGTAAACCAAAGGGAAGAAAGATGCAGTACCATGCAAACATTGAAAAAGAAAAAGGATTGGAACTTTATTCTCAGTTCGTGACTTTGTGCGAAAAAGAACTGGCTGCCAATGCCAAATGCGTGGAAGCAGGTGTTCATGTCAAGCATGGCACGTACGGGAACAGGCAGGTGTTAAAGCTGGATACAAATGGACCTTACACTCATCTGATTGAATTTTGAAAAAATAAATTACATCTCAGATACAGTTCTAGAGTCTTTTTTTTTTTTTTCCCCTCCTAAGCATTAATGTGCTTGAATGCTTTGGGAGATACAGTGTGAAAAGGGCTTTCACTTGTCTATACTGGTGTTGTCAAAGCCATTGAATACAAGGATGCCTGAGACTGCTTTACTATAATGAGTATGTGTTTTATGCTCATATGCCTCTGAAGTGTGTTCAAAATAATTGTTAATATTGATCCAATAATTTGAAACGTTTATTAGCAAGGATGGGGTAATGCATTCATTTCTTACTAAAAAATAATGAAAGAAGTATTACATGTATAGCTTGAGTAAGTGGTTTATAGATTACAAAAAAAAATACTGTAGATGTGCTTATGTTTCCAGATTTCCTGAGTCAGTTTTTGCCTTTCCGTTTTCTAATTATAAAATAGCAATACTTTCTAAATAACCAATACATTGAAAGCACAAAATCACTGAATTTTTAGCCTCTTAGAGAGTAGATACTAAATAAGAAAGTCCATCCTCCTCATCGAGAGCGTGTAGGGGTGCAAGACTTAAGGTAGTACTGGGCTGATCAGGGGCTGTATAGGGAAAAATAAGCAAGGCACATCTAGAAACCAGCAGTACCACTGAATTGCTTTCTTGAAGTTTGCATTCTGAAATCTCTGATATGTTTTGATAGGCTGCTTGCTATAGCTTGGTCTGTGTCCTTGTTACTGCGGTCTTGCTGTCTACTCAATTCCTTCATAACAGATGCCTCAGGAAAAGAACAGAAACATTCGATGAAAACAAAAGTAAAGATGGTACATTGTATGCAGCCATCTCATTGTTCCCACTGCCCCTATTGCTTCCTTCAGGCTTTTTGTCTATTAAATCTGCCAGGCAGAGACTAGTTTTCAATTTTATAGACAGTGTTGGTACATTTGGGGCCCCATTCCCAGCTAACCCCCATGTAGTACTGTTATAAACATTATTACCAGATGGTGTTATGAAGATATAATGGGAAATTCTCTCTTGTAAGGCAGTAAGAACAGAACAGCTATATTAAAATGTGGCAAATTCAAAACTGATTCAAATATGCTCATCCTGTGAGCCAAGTTTCTCTTTTACTGCAGCATTATGGCTTAGAAGGATTCAAAGTGAAATTGGACATTTATATGGTTTGCAGTAATTATCCAAAATTGCCATTTAAATAACAAATTATTCCAGAAAAGACCTATGACCTCATGGTTGGTGAGGATGCCAGCTTATACAATCCTAACTTGTAGGTCACTAGTTGCAAATATTCTATCCTTATCTTTATTTTTGTAAAAAAAACCATTATTGAATGTGTAATCTGCAGACACAAACTGTGCCATGAGAATCACATTTTTTTGAACAGATAGAAAGCTTGTAGTTTTGATAAGAGAGTAATGAGATTTTTTTCAGATTACATAATGTATGGTTAATAATTACAAAATACATAAGGATGTTGAATTCCTGGCAACTGACACTCTCAGAGTTGAAAGCAACCATTTACACAAATGGCCTGGAAATATTAGCTATTAGGTCCCAAATGATTATTCATTAATAATTAACAGTTATGATAGACACAATATGAGTTATGTTCTCAGTTCCTACTAGAAACATTTAACTAAGATTGTCCTGTTGTCAATAACTAATACAAATTCATTTTTATCTGTGTGCATGAAAAAACATTTTTATTCCTCTTTCTTTTGGAGGTCAAATCCTAAAAAGTGCTGAGTAATACCACTTTTCAGAGACTTTACAGGAATTGTGGGTATTTAATATATCTCAAGAACTGATTCTTTGAGGTATAATACAAAGTATTTAGTTTTAATTTTTTTCTTGTCTACAGAAAGATCTTTGGCAACCTGGTAATTCATTCTCTATATTTCAAGAACTCTGTGAATTCTAAGAGGGATAGGCTTGAAAATGTTTAGTGAAAAACAGACTTCAAATAAAACTCCATCTTATAGTGATCTCTCATATAAAGCACATAAAATCGAATATATATTTTGGTTGTTCTTAGGACCAGACAGAACTCTGGAATATCTGTTAAAAGGTCGATATTTTTGTATTATCTGCCCATTTCTCATTTATTTTTGTATCCATCTTGGAATACTGATTTCTGCCATCTTCTGCTCCACCGATTGGCAGCTTGTTGAATGTTGTGCCTTTAGTACTGCTTTATTTATATCTATTATTGATTCACAATCCATTTACTGAAAGAAGTCACTTCTGAATAACATGCTGGACTGTACTGATGAAAAAATCGATTAAAATTACTTTTTCAAAGCGAAATGCCCATTTCTTTCTGCCATGAATATATACTTTAAACAGATGATCTGACACTGCTTTAAATAGTTTCTATTCTAAGACTAGATAAAAACTCAAATATTATCCTGTTCTATACTTATACACCATATATTGGAAGATGCTTAATATTCCCCACTTCCTTGAAATAACCTATAAATTCAGGAGTCATCCTTACGCTATTATGCCTTCAATTCAACTGTCATACAATAATTCCAATATCAAGGTTTTGCGACCTTGTTTGCAGCGTACACACCCAGTGTGTCTAAACTGAGTGTGTGTGGACTATGAACTGGGCTCATAAAAACTTACTAATGATTTCAGGTGCAATAGCCTGTTTTTAGTCAGCACTATTCCTGCTTCCTTCCCATGCCCTTTCTGGAAATTTTTACCTCTGCTACTACATACAGCATGCAACATACGAATTTACAACATAAAAATATTAATCCAGAATTGGAAGTTAATGAACAGTACGTAGACCAGTAATACTAATAACACTGCTGCAGCTGTATTACTATTGCTAGTAACAGTCCATAGGCTTTATCACAAGTGTTACAAGACCTCAGGATGGGGGCTTATCACGCATGCTTTGTCTGAACTTTCCTTAGTCTTCTCAGAGCTTTGCTTTTACTTGATTTAGCTGTAACAACAATTTTTCTAAGGGCAGGGGACTGTGGCTGATTTGTTTTACTTTGCGTTGTATGTTGTAACAACAGTTGTTACATAGATATTAATAATAAGTAGTTATTCTGTGTAGAATTATATTTTTATGACTGTAACATAAATGTTCCAGTGTGCAGAACAGCACCGGCCTTGAGAAGTGAAGACACTGACAGCAGTGTAAAGTAGAGGCAGGGGATGGTAAGAGACGGGGCACAGGCTGTCACCGGAGACTCCAAGGCTATAAAAAACTTTCCAATGGTCAGTTAAAGAAACACAAACCTGGAGCTGGACAAGACTAGTCTTAGGAGTAAAAAAGAGAAGAAAGAATGGGTATATAAGATATACAAAAAGCAAAATATGTAGTTGCAGCCCAGTAAAGAAAAAGCAAGGTGTAAAACTTTATTAGAAAACATGCAAAAATAGCCCCAGCTTCTTTTTTCCAGAAGTAAATGGAGAGAAAGAAGAACAAACCATAACACCAACATCATACTTCTGAAGGCATAGGACTCCAGATGCCAATAATCCACTGTGCTCCCTCTACTAGATGAAAGCCACATGAGGTGAAAGGGTAAGCACAATATCAGGAAAAGGGGCAGGTAGAGGTACTAGATGTGCATGCATAACAATTTTAAGTGTAGAATTATTATTTAGACTTTCTTTACAATTTTTTTAATTTCCTTTCTTTTTCTACAATAATTAGATTTGGACTGAAAATAATTCTTTGATTAAATTGCTAAGGTTGCAATTATAATAGATTTGGTGTGACTTTATACATGGGGTGGATTTATTTTTGCCCATAGCAAGATTTTGCACAGTTTCTGCAGACAGTTGCTTCCCCATGTTGAAATGGCAGCCACTTGATGGCCTGCTGGATATTAGCCAGCCTTTGTGGTTCTTTTCATCAGGTCCTTTAATGCAGCTGTGATGTCTGATCTCATTTACCACAAAAGCTGCACAGAAGTTTCTTTCTTCATTGTGACTCAATGCAACCACTGCTCTTTAGCCCTTCTTTGAGAACAAAATCAGTTCCACTTGGATTTTTAAGTATGATCTGATGAACCTCAATCTCACCTCTGATACAAAACCAGCTTCTTAGGTATGAATCTTTTAAGCTCCATTATTTTTTGCTTTTATTTTCTATTAGTCTCTGCTATATGGACTCCTTCAAACACATAGTGTTTCTCTTCTGAAGCTGGAGTAGCAGTACGCCATAGAGAACTAGAGTGATCTCCAGGCATTACCTGAGGTCTGTCACCAACCTCTGTTGTGACTGTCCTCATTTCTTAACTTCTTGGCATCTCAATTCTCATCTAATAAATGGGTATTTTATTTTTTTTCAATGTGTTGATCCTTAAGACTACACATTGAGCAAAACAAGGACCATCACTCGGTTTAGTGTATTCACTGCAGAGTGGGACAGTACTGAGCTGTCTGTAAGATCCACCAGTTGCTTTATACTAGAACTCAGGGTGACAATTGCTGGACAAGAACAGAAAGCAGAGCTTCCTCCTTAATATTTTCCTTGGGAAAGCAGCATCTAAATTTTGAGACTCTCCCTCAAGAATTTAGTGAATTTAGTATTTCCTATTTGTTCCTTCTTATTTTCTTTGAAGCTCCTTGAAAGCAACTCAGAATTTGGGAATCCCTACAAGATTCTGTTACTAGAAGTGCCATCCAAATACAATTGAAAAGTAAATGGTATATGTGGACAAGAGAAAGAAACAGCAGTTAGAATAGCCCAAATAATTTGAGTGTATTGCACATTTTCTATTTAAACCAATGCTGTCTGCTAGTTCAATTACTGCCAGTGTGCAGCTTTGGGTAAAGCAATTTTCTGCTCCACTTTTTCCATCTGTGAGACAGAGTGAAAACAGGGGAAAAAGAGGTTTAAAACCACTAGGTTTTTTCTCTTCACTAAAAGCAAAAAATCACCTCTGATCCTCTTTTTTCGTCAGAAGGCAGTATGCTTCCACCTCTCTTCACGTTTGTTGGAGCTACAGGAATTTGCCTTTCACTACCTCCTACTTAAGCCTCTGCCTCACAAA